GCCAACTTGATCGCCGTCGGGTTTGCCTTCCTCCGAACCTGTGCGCCAAGGCCAGCCCTTTGCATAAAGGATTGGCTCATGAAGTTGCGAGTCGCGCCGCTATCCAGCAAAGCGTTGCAGGACGCTTGCCCAACCTGAATGCGGACATACATCAGCGGTGCGTTGTTGTCATCGTACCRCTGCGTGCGAAACTCGCGGGCCACCTTGGTAGTATACGCCAAGATGTCCCCCACCGCGACTTTGTCATCCGTCGGCGAAGTTGGTGGTGCATAGAAGGATAGGTAAGTGTGAAGATTAGCGCTAAGTGCTGCACATTGCGGTCCCGACAATCAGCCGGTGGTCGGAAGCCATGCAAAGTCCTCAGAGGTGAGCGGGTCCAATGCCTCTATGTTGAACTCGCGCGCCGAATCCCGTGAAGAACCACTTGAAGACGAATTGTCGCCGTTGCCGGACGGAGAAGAAACCGCACACACTCCTTGTCCTTGAGCTTGAGTACCCAGCGTTGGAACGAGCGGGGCAGCATAGTCCTCAAAAGAAAGTAGAAGAGGAGGACTAATGACTTCCGCATGCGCCTCGGAATGAAGGCCGGCTACTCGCGAAGAAACCGGTTCCGAAGGCGTCGAGAGTGTCGTCGAGTCACTCTCGGCGGTGCTCAGTTTCCCTGTCTGCCCTTGCCTTTCAATGGGCAAGCCTGCGTCTGGTGAAGATCGCTGTTGCACCAAAGGCAATAATGGAATCTCTCGCGCGCCTTGAATGCGGACTCGGAGATGCCATACTGGGTCCATGGGCCTGTCTGAGCTGCTGCACCGAGCCCGGGGCTAGATGCGGTGTGTGTCTTCGTCCTGCCGCGTCCTCGGCCTTTGCCGGGGCGGCCACCTTCCAGGGCGGCTGCGAGTCTGACTCCTTCACTGGCAGACACAGCCTCGCTGGTTTGGTCTAACGGCGTTGCCGCTGCGACCACGACCACTCTTGGCCGATGCTGGTCCCTTCTCGGGCCTTACGCAGATGAACGAAGGTTCTTGGCCTCCTTGTTTGTGATAATTATCTGCGCAGCCTTGTCGAACAACTCCGCCGTCGTTGTCAAGGTGTCTTCGACATGCGTCAGGGCATTGCTCAATGTCGGACATGACCTTGAGATGAAGTAATGGCGGATGGCCTTGAAGCCCATCTGGATGTCTGGGACTGACGTGAAGCGTTGGTACTCGGCGATCCAGTCCGTACTCGGCAGCGTGCCTTGCTCAAAGACCATGAGCTTGTCCATGGCTTTGATCTCTGGCGGCTCCACCTGGAACCAAGTCCGCAGCTACCACTCCGTACTTGGACAGGAGGTTGTCCAACCAGGCCTGGCACGCGCCCCCTGAGCGAGAGTACAAGTAGGCGTGGTGCTTGTGTTCCTTGACGTTGGACAACTGCAGCGTGAACTCTAACTTGCGAAACCATGGAATAGGATCTGTCTTCGTTGAGTCGCAGAAGATCTCCTGCCCGTCGAACTTTGAAGTGGTCTCGTGCGGTTCTGTACTTGAAGTGGTGGCGGTAGTGCAAATCCGGTGTTGCAATTGCTGTGTCGCGGTCTGCTGCGATTGTACGCCATCCTTGAGTGCGCCGACGTCCATCTCCAATGCATTGAGGCGGTCGGTAGTGTTGGAAGAGCCTGCGTCTGCGGCGGCGACTGGTCGCTGCTCCAACCGCTGAAGGCGGTCTTGGAGATGAGCTAGCGAGGTGTTGAGGCCAAGGATCTCCGCCTGCTGTGTAATGCAGGTGGCCAGGAGATCCGTGAGATGCGAGAGGAGGAGCGCTATCTTGTTGGCGCTGTCCTCCAACTTGCCATCCTCGGCCTCGGTCCGCCATGCTGCTGCCATGGTAAGTAACGCCCGCTCTCCAGTGAATATCTTCTCACGACGCTGTATTCTTTCTTCATCGGCAGCCCTTGCTGCTGCCTCATCATGCTGGCGCTGTTGTTCAAGTGCCAACAGCCGTGCCTGCTCTGCATCTTCCGCCTTCTTCTTCGCTGCTGCTGCAGCGTCATCTGCCCGTTTCTTAGTCTCCGCACTCCAGGCCAGCATGCGGGCCTGATAGGCCTCGTCCGCTTCTCCGGGCCTCTGGTCCATGACTGCTGTTTGAGATCTCAACAGCATAGACCAGTCGGGGCCTGTTGATAAGGTATCCCTTACTGCTGACGTGGCTCTGCTGATGTGTCCTGACGTGTCCTGCTGACGTGGCAACTCACCAATGTCGCCGCAGGGGATACCCGGATTCAAACAGAAACGGTAAGGCGAGAGATAGCAACAACATAGGTGGGGAGGGGTGGGTGGGATAATCGCCCAACTCACACTTCGGTAAGGAACCACTAATCAAAACAGAAAAGTTTGAACTTTGCAAAAAAATTTCGAAAAAATAAAAATCCCGATTTTTTGCAAGTTCGGTAGGCCCCCCAACCTCCCTTGAAGTACGAAATGATCACTGAAAGCGAAAAAGATTTCAACTTTATACTACAAATGATTGATATGACTGAACGACAGAATCCCCGAACTGCGAAAAAAATTCCGAACCGAAATGACAAATATTCGGATTTATTCCGATAAGGATATTCACAGTTTGAAAATAATACCGCAGGAGAGTTTTCCCGTATCGTTTTTCAGAAACACGAATTTCAGAAAAGACAATATTCCGAATTCCTAAGTATCGGGAGATATTTCCCGTACCGTTTAAAAAAAAACGAATTTCAGAAAAGACAATATTTTGAATTTCCAAGTATCGGGAAATGCAATAGGAAATCGAAACTTTCGAAAAGAAAAATATTCCGGATTTTCAACAACGAAATTTCGAATTTTCAGAAAAAGACGAAAATGAAAATTTTAGATGTTGCGATATTGCGATTTTCCTACAACAGACTAGCGAGAAAAATAAAATCCGAGAAAAAATTTTGATTTTCGGTAGTAAGGTCAAGATCGTGATTTTGGGGTCTAACTGGTATGTCCTAATCAATCGGGAAAGACTACCTAGCTCTTTAGTCCCCGCACACGTGTCAGATCAGGTAGTCCTGATTCACGTGCAAAGCTCCGATACCAACTGTTACATGCACAGATATGTGATGCTTGTACTAACCGAGGAACTGCAATGTGACGAAAATGACTGAAATGGACAATGCGGTGAGAGTAGAGTCTCGACAGACAATGTGCATTCTCATACATACAAAAGTACTGAATAGCGCAGGGAAGACTTAGATACAAAGACTGACTTGACAAGGACTGACTTTACACACGTAGTAGCAAGTAGCGAAACAGACTGCTAGAATGTTGATAACTAGTCCAACCGATGGTTGAACTCAGACCAAACATGCATCGTACCCCTCACCAAGTGTGAAGGAGCATGGCGCTGCACACAGGAAGAAAGCGCCAGGTCCAGACATACATAGACGAAGAGGTAAGGATCAGACGAAAGGAGGGAGGAAGATGGGAGTGTCGTTAACACCAAGTCTTTGTCACCGATCCCAAATAACCCCTCGTTG